AATTCTTGAAACCAATCTAATTTCGGTATTTATTCAAACCCTTTATACCATCATGCGAGTTTTTATAAAATTCTACTCTTGTTTCATTTTATTTTGCATGATTTCGAATATACCTTTATGGCTGTATCCTTCTGTCGATTGATTTTTTTGTCTTTTGTTGGCTTTAACCTACTCAAGTTCATAAGAATGACTATCATTGGCAGGAATATACAGGAACAAACGATATTCATTTCCAAACTATCTTCAAGTGCCATTTGAGAGGATTTTTAGTTGATGAATATGTCCATCAAAATAAACCGATTTGGATTTGAGAACTTGCCACAGAGGTAAAGCATCGATTTCTGAAACAGAATGACAAGGGATTTGCATAAAATCAGGAGAAGATAATCCCGTATATCCCGATATAATTTGCAGGGGGTGGATCAAGGGTTTCGAGAAAAAAGAAGGGTTGCGTAATTGTTCGCAATGGTATAAATAGTGGCGAGCATACCGTCGAGAAGTTTTTTCAAAGTTTACAATTTTATATCAAAAATTATATTTTTCCGATCAAAGTGGAAACATTATGTACTCTATGCCCCCATTTGAATCAGCCATTGATATGGTTTATTTCCGCATGTTTATAAGGAAAAAGTATTCAATGTTACTATATATATAGAGGGAAAGGACACTTATACAATCATATATATACACATTCTGAATATGGTTGTATATATTGAATATAACATATTTTAATGGTGAACTATGCTTGCTAGTTCATTATGACTACATGTTCTAAATAAGTATACACAAGTACTTGAAATAAGAGAATACTTAATAAGATAACCTTTATTGTGGCGATAAAATGTCGTGGGATAATTATGAATAATCCTCGTCATTTTAAAGTGACATTTAATATTAATGACTGGACAATTTCATTCGCATACATTTCATATCTCTTCCGAAACTTGATACAAAGTTTTATTATTTTTACATAGGGGAACGTCGCTGTACTTAGCTGATCTCAACATTACTAGAGTACGAAAACAAGTCAGAAGCAAGGGGCGGATTTAGGGGGGGGGGTGCTTAGGGGACAAAGTTTTATTATTGTTATATTGGGGAAAGTCGCTGAACTTAACTGATCTCAACATTACTAGAGTACGAAAACAAGTCAGAAACAAGGGGCGGATTAAGGGGGTGCTTAGGGTCCCGGCCCCCTTATGGAGCTACATATATGATAAATGCATAGACTTTTTACAAGTATCACTTTGAACATTGGCTTGCCCTTTTTCAAAATCCTGGATCCACACTTTTAAGCCAGTAAACTAGCACAGTCCCCAGAATGCTTATACAGTTATTTGCCATTTACAATCATGATCAACTTTAGCTTGTCGTATTTGAGTGTTTAAGAAAACTTTAGTGGTTAAGAAATAAAATAAATCAAATATTCATATGATGATAAAAATAAAAGGTAACTGCATTCCTGCTTTTTACCATGCATTGCTCTTCATTGCAGCGACCCAGTACTACTATCATGGGAGTGAAAGAACTGATATCAAACTATATGATTTGAGTGTCAATTTCATGAGTAACCGTTTTTGTAACTTGTATGCAATTCAGGCCCTCCCCGCGTAATCGACTTTCCGGGTAGGACTTTTAGATGCATGTCGTCACAGATTCCCGAGGTTATTCCGAAAATGATGATTTGTATAGGCAAGACATGCTATTCAAATGCTTTTGAAAATAAGAGTTGCTAGCAGATTTCAAAAGAAAGAAAAGTCTATTATATGCCTATCATAATGTAATAGAATGAAAATTTACTCATATTAAACAAGTCTTTGAAATTTAAGTTGATTAGAATTTCGGCATAGAATTTTATACACTTGACAATGAAAAGACATATTCATTAAATTTCGATCCACTTGTAATTCTATTTCGAGTATCAATATATTCTCAAAGTCAATGTAGAATACAATTAGTGACAAGAATTTCTGACACATTATTTACTTAGCTAAGGGCTGGCAGTATTTATTTTAGCATTTTCTTTTCTTCTTAGTTGAAAACGTATATGTATTTTATAATGAGTAAATATGTTTGTACCTGAGTAGGTATTAATTAAAGAATATAGATATTATTATATATAAAAGTAAAGCAAACAAACTTATATAGATATGGATCCACGATTAAATATTTGACGGGGCCGTCCTTTCATTAAACTGAAATAATATTTTTATTTCGTGAATGTGTATTGACATTGAGATCATAAGAAAATAAGCGCCACCAAGGATACAATAAATATTGAAACACTTAAGTCTGTTAGTGAATAAGACTTCAGAAAAAAAAAGAAAAAATGTGGCTTCTCCCTAACTAAAAGTTCAGCAATAGGTTCATACAGGGCTGTGTTGTATTTAAATATTTAAATGTTAATTGAGACTTTCTAATTTCCAGAGAGGAGAAAATAGTGTTTATTTTTATGAAACCTTTGAACAGATTTTGTAGATGTGTTGTATTCAAATATTTAATTGTTCGTTGAGACTTTCTATAATTTCCAGAGATAGAAAATATTGTTTATTTTTATGAAACCTTTGAAAAGGTTTAGTTGAATACGGTTTCTTTTCCTTTCAACAATCCCCTTTCAACGTTGCTATGGTAACGATTAAACTAACTAGAGAAGTTAGGAGTCTAAATATATTTACAGGAACGTGTTGTGAAACAATGACTTTCCAACTATCATTACGTAATTGTAGTCACGTGATTGCGACCTGCACTGTGACATGAAATACTCTCTAACCAAAAACCATTTCTATTCTCTAATATGGTAATGAGCCATTGTTTATCTAAATTGACTATATCTGTCCCAGGGGTTATTTTAGTTTAATCAGGTTCCATTTTATCCTGAAATGTTTTGTTTAGCATAAACTGTTCTTCAAAATAGAAATCAATAAATCCTACTTTTTATTCTTAAATAATTAGAAGTTGTCGACATGGAGTTCTACAAGCACGAAACAAAGACATTTACAAACATTGTTCGTGTGATTTCAATAAATGCAGTCTTTGAATAGATCTAAAAGAAAACTTCAAAAATGAGTCAATATTAAGTTTTCTAAACAAAGACGCAGTGCATGGTTGTCATTGCCTACGTAGTTTCTAAATGTCGGATACAATTCTGGAACTTCCGGAAACAAGTGAAAAACTGTCAATTAAAGATTTGGCACGTCCTTTGGTTAAATTGTGACTTTTAACAGAAGAAAAATACAAATAAAAAGCAAGAATTTGAAAGTTAGCACTGTTTAAGCGTGTACGGGACACGCTTATTTTTGGGTCAGTGGTACACTGCATATACCATTTCATTTTATATCAAGAACGGCTCAATTGCATCAAGTGTTTTCAGCATCTTAAAAAGATTAGAAACATCCCACCGCGAGATTTACACGTCAATAATTTTCTTAAAACAGGTCTCTATTAGAAAGTTGATTTTCAATCAAAGAGGTTAGGACTTGAAAAAAAAAATGTATGAAAGACAACATTTTGAAAATATGTTGTTTAAGCTATAGAAGTAAAAAAACATTTGATTTTTTACAAAGCATGCCATGAAAAAAAAATTTTCAGCATTACGACTTAAAGGTACAAGAAAGCACTGTGTATGCTTCATAGTTGCATGTACCCACCCAAGAAAAAACTTCAAAGATATCGTTTACTATATGATGTAGCGTCTACATGACATATAGAATCCAGATAGCGTCAATGTTTTACATGTAACGACTCATACATTGATCTCATCTTAGACACAAAAACTATTTAGTTTCGGATAAAACCCAAACAACAGATTTTTGTAATAAAATCCGTTATTCAGCGATTTAAGCATGCCGTAAAATCTTGTGTTTTTAAAGTACACATATGGTCGCTTTATTAACGTTTTCAGACGTATTAAGGATTTTGAACTATAGTATTGTCAAATGTCTACATTGTTATAAGAAAAAAGACGACTTTTAAAGCTTTAGAAATACGATGTATAATTCCTTTATAATTTCAAGTATTTCATCCTATTATACTAGTGATTTGCCCACTTAGTATGGATAAATGAAGTTTAAAATTATTTTGTAATCTAACTGCCATTGCTTTGTTTCGATTTTGTAATTCAAACTGTGTCAATTGGTGTATATGTTACTTTGGGTACACCAAATAAATAAATTGTGTATTGGTGTATGTGTTATATGGGTACACCAAATAAATAAATTGTGTGTATTGGTGTATGCGTTGTATGAGTACACCAAATAAATAAATTGATCTTCTGACTCGATCCTTCAAAAAGATGAAGAAAAGGAGTTCGTATAAATCGTTTCATTTCATTTTGCACTATTTTATCAAATCTGCTATTTTCTAATAAAAAAGTAATCCCTCGCTCCACCAAACACAATCCGGATAATATCAAAATGAAAGCGTAATAACCTGTAATGCCTGTACCATGTCAGGAATATGACAGTTGTTTTCCATTCGTTTGATGTGTTTTAGATTTTGATTGTGCCATTTGATAAGGACTTTCCGTTTTGAATTTTCCTTGGAGTTCGGTATTTTTGTTATTATACTTTTTAGCCTGCGTATTAATCGAAGATCATAATATCGCTCGCCCTTTCTTATCTTATGCGAGGAAATCGTAAAAAATACCAATAAATTAATTTAGACTGGGCTTTATTTCCACAAGAATATTCCGTCATCTCTATAGTAGATGAAAATGCAAGAGTCTTAATTTCACAAAGGGGACTTTACATTTACATATTTTGTTTTGTTATGCTAAAGAATAAACAGCCCAAAACCTTACTGTCCTTCCAAGTATACAGACTCTGAGAGTTATTTCTTTTCTTTTATTCAAACCCTGGGAATTATTTGTGAAAATACTGTACTGTATATGTATTGTAGGAAATACCATCTTGTTGGAAATACTATATTACTAGTATTGTAGAAAATACCATATTGTAGAAAATACTATATTGTTGGAAATACTGAATATTTTTCTTTCTTTTCAGTTTGGTCCATCAATAGGTGGTGTACATTCGGCAGAATGCAAAGCCGACTTGAAAGAATGCTCCCCTGGTAAGTTACGTCTTTTTCGTAATGTCAATTGTATGACTTTAGTGTTGTAACGATTACCTCCGATGATCGATTACTCATCTTTAAAAGCTAGACGATGCTTAAAATCGATGATGTTTCCAATAACCGAGATAGTTGAAAGTTCATCGGATGTGTCGTGTCAAACTTAACTAATTTCTATTTTTCATTTCATTATTATTATTATTATTATCATTATCATTATCATTATCATTATTATTATTGTTATTGTTATTATATTTTGCATTATAACGTGTAAGATAAATAATTCAAAGTAAGTATAATTGATTACTTATCGACTTTACAACCCCCGATTATTTCCGATAATCGATCATCGCCTTGTGTCCGATTGTCCCAACACTAAATAAACAGTGAATCGGTACATGTATATTACAGATATTTTAAAGGTTCTTTCGTATATCGACATTTCTAGAGGATATATATCTATCGTTCTGATTACGTGTTAGATTAGTTGAACTTTCTATAATTGCACGTGAAATTTCGGTCATATCTAAGGAAAATGTTGAACGTAAGCAATACATTTCAATGTTTTTGCCAGATAAATGTTCATTTTCTACGAAAATAAAGTTTAGAAAATCATTATGAAGAGCAGTTAACTAATTCCCTCTTCATCTGAAAATCATTATGAAAACGGAATTGGCTTTCGACTTGGGAAAACATTTATGAGTTTTCAATTTCTTATAATTAGACAACGAGGAAATTGAGCCAAAGGATATAATACATTATATTCAAGCATCTTACTGACTTTAAGCTTTTTCAAAGCCTCGTAGTGAGATAATTAAAAGAGATGACCTTTTCACTTTCTTATCTGGTAAAGAAAATATTGATTCAAAATATCATTGCAAAACTCATACAATCCAATTAAGTAGGAATCTTCCTATTGCCTTTTCTCCAATTTGGTTGATTGGTTCAAGTGTCAATATTCATGGCAGCCATCATTCCGCGTGAGAAAACAGCAGACGATTGAGGTCCCGGATCGAGTATTTACTGTAACAAAACAGAATTGCACAGTGAAAATAGAATTTGTAACAAAATAAGCAAAATCGATACGAAACATCCATTAGTTTATGCAAATGTAAAGAATAACCAAACTTTGATGCCAGATAAAGTCAATAGATCGTTTTTCAAGATGTCCGAACAACAGCCATTCTTACGGCTACATTATTCATCTTTTATAAACTCTACGCTTTCATTCAGTTACAAAGATGTTCTGGAATGAATTTATTATGTTTTTTTTAACGATTTGACTTTGACGGATGCTTCGTATGTTGTACATTTTGTTACGGTACTTATTGATTTATTTAAACCAACACTATATATCCCTTGTCAGTTCCTTAATTTTGTTCATACTCAGTATTGAAAACCTCTTTCAAAACCGCGATGTATGAGGGTATGGATGGGGGAGGGGTGTCCTTTATTTATAATTTCTTTAATTGTTTTGGTCATTTTTCTATATTCTTGAAATTTTTTGCTCATTTTTCTCTATTCTTTATATTTACGCACCCCATTATTCTCTTAATATTTATTTTTTGGGCCTATTTTTCCCTATACTTTATTTTTTTACCCATTTTTCTCCAGTATTGGTCAATTATTCTCTATTCTGTAAACCCCATCCAGGCCCTCATGTATGGTTCTGAATGAAACACAAAGAATCCAAGTTCTTTTAAGTTTAAACGTAAAAGACTACAACTTTTATAGATATGAAAGAAATCACGGTATCAGTTCGTAAATGCCTTCATTTTCTAGTTTTATCAAATTTGTTTTAATCGTTATAAAAGTTGGGACAATAAAAAAGATAATGAACCGGCAGTTGAAACAAAAATCTCTTTCTTCTCATGCAAAATTTATTATGCTTTTTATCACGATTAAAAAACACGGCTTGAATTTAATAAGAATTCCTTGCTATCTTTGTATTAAGGTTTCTTTTGCGGAGAAAATCAATACTTCCTGCAGCTAATACAGATTTCATGATTACGGAAAGTAAAATGACAAAAAGTCATTCAATGATAACTATTTTATATCATTTGAGTCCTAATAGAAACAGATTGTTATCACCCCCCGGGGAATAGCAATAACGAAATAAAACACGATGCGGGCGATTCTTCAATATGAAATAAAGTCACATTAAAAAAAACCACAGCCGTGTGTTTTCTGTCCAAAGTCAAAACTCCAACTAAAGGGACGACTATTTAATATTCGGGTAAGGGGAGATAGGGGACAGGGGACAGGAAGATACTATCCGGGTTGATCATTTATTTTCATCTGCTTAATCTGCATGATTATTTTTTCCGCCTTAAAATTTATTTTCATTTTTGAACACATTTGTTTCCTGCTTTTTGTGTTTCAGAATATTCATTTTCCTCCTGGCTTGTGCAAAATTATTTATTTTCATTTCTTACCAGGCCAAGTTATTCATTTTCAAAATCATCTGTTCTGAAGGAAAAGTCAAACCTGAGCAAAATGTTCATCGTCTCCAGTAACACTGGTACTGTATTTGTTATGACCCTGTTATATTCTTACAGGACACGAAATGCTCAAATGCAAAGGAACAGGAACAGATCTGAAATACTACTGTCAGCAATGTAGTGACACGGCTTTCCAACCGAACGCCAACAGATATGGTGACCGGTGTCGGTTGAGGTAAGTAAAATATCCGAACGGGATCATATTGAGAAAGAGAAAGATTATTAAAAAGTAAATATGAAGAAAGAATATAGACTTGAGACTTGTGCTTTTTTGTTGAATTTCTTCATATCGCACAATTATTTGTTAAAATTTTTAAAAAATGGTTACAGATTAAAACAAGATCACTAAATAAATGCCATTATCGGCAATTTGTACATTTTCCCTTTGATGTTACTGTCTAATATTTTTAATATCATGGACAGGACTTGATACTCGAAAATATTAGGCATTGACATCATGTATCAGTGCAGCAACGTCACGTCCGCGTCAATTTATTAATGAAATGCACGCGACTTCATCCATACAACCGAACAACTATCCCAACGTTTTGTACACGTAAAAGTAGTTTTACTGACTATTTCATCTTACTTCATATTCTCAACCAAAAAAACATACAGTTAAGACACATTGCCAATAAAAAGAATAATAGCATTTAATTTTTTGATACGGACTTCATCAGCTCGCCCTAGCGGACTCGCTTGATATTCTTGCCGATAAAGTTAGTATCAAAACAAAAATGCCATTATTCTATATATATTATAATTTCAGAAAGGCATGTCTCAACCAGTTCATGCGTTACAGAGATTATGGCAGCACAACGCGTGATGCCATGTGTAAATGTGAGCCTGGCTACCATTTTGAATCAACAGATCAACGAGCATGCGTACAAAACAATTACTGTGATAGAGGTTATGGACAAACAGATTATGGTAAGAGTAAAGAAATGCTCAATGCCTTCTCTTTTCCCTTAATTTAAAAAAAAAATTGTAGCTTGTGAAAGGAATTAAAATCAGCAAATGAAGACATATGTCATTAAATAATTAATCAAATGATAATCGTAGAACACTGAGGTCCAATTCAATTTTAAAAGCCTGAGAGGGTACAAACTGTTGGAATTGAATGCCCTCATTACCGAGTGATTGACCAGATCCTTCTAACTGAAATCTCGATCCTGCTTTGCATGTGTCACCCTTCGTGTGACTTCAAACAATTAAAATTAGAGCACATGTGATAACTGGGTTGGACGATAATTGTTTCTAATAAGTCGATATTTTATAATAGTAATAATAATCATAGTATTGAATTTATCAAAAAATTGGGTCTTTATTCAATAAAGATTATGATGAACATAGAAAATATAAAGTTCTTACGAATACTTTGCTCTTGTGAGCAACACATATTGAAATATCCTACAACTTGATAATATTTTTACAGGTTCCTGTGAGCGTTGTGTTGTAGGCAGTACATATTCAGACAAAAAAGACAAACTCCAAAGATGTAAGACAGTTACAAAGTAAGTTAAATTTGACAACTGGGTTTTAAATAAACATATTTCAGTGTTAAGTTTGTATGATTTTGCCATCCAACTACTGATGCGCCATTTACAGACGAAACGCGCGTCTTGTGTTACAAATTATTAGCCTGGTATATTTGATGAGTTTTTACCACAACCAAACCTCTTTTCCTTATTTTTAATTAAATTATTACTGCATTTGGTAGACATTTTAGAAAAATTTGGAAAATGTTTATTCACAAAGCAATCATCATGTATCTTGAATTGCACATTAAAAAACAATAAGTCAGATTGTTAAATTTCGTTTTTTTTTTATAGACGCCAGTGAAATGATTTTAATAGTACATGTCTTCGACTGCATGTATACACTTTGGGAGGGGGTAATTTCTATTTAAATTCAAGTTAAGCTTTATTCTACAGGTAAACATAAGAAAGGTTAAAAAATCTGTGCAAAATTTGTTTCCAAAAGGGTGAAAATGCTACATAATAAACTATTCATCTTGACTTTCCTTCTTAAAACATTTTTGCATTTAGTTTCCATATATAATCGGCAATTGTTGTTCAATTAAAATTATGTAAAAAATATCAAAGAAAAACTGTAAGCTCTAAATAAAAAAATAACCTGTGTTAATCTTCTATGAAATTAATACTTCAAAGGAAAAAAAAAGATGAAATAAAAAAAAATGTTGAGGATCAGCCCGTCCTAGTTTCTCAATCTTTAGAATAGTGTAAATTGTATTAGGATGGTGTTAGATAAGGGTTTTAAATTCTGTAAACTGTAAATTTTTATAGTTAAATTTTCAACCTGTTACATTGTTATTTTAAGACAAGAAAAGACTTGATATTGGTTTTATGTTTAACAAAGTATTTAAAAGAATGAATTGATGTTTATTCTTAATGGCAATTTCAATACAAAGCTTTCATTAACATCTTTCTGATTCATTTAACTTGAAATATTTTTTTGAATGGATCAAAGTCAAACATTTGATGAAATAATATGAAAACCTTTGATCAATGCTTTAAGTCTACATAGATAAATAAATGAATCAACTACAATATGGTATATACTTTATATAAATAATAATTCCTAGGGATTAAGAAAACAAAACCTACAGTAGAACTTATTTAAATATAATTAATTATTTTGATAAAAATTCCCTTATATGGGAATATCTTTCATTTATTGCTTTTCCTTACAAATCTTTCTTAAAAAAAAAACAGGTTTGAAGATGTATTACACAAAAATGTTGTTACGTTCTTTGAAAGGAGATTATTGTTCTGATAATCTGATTTGAAAAGACCGAGACACTTTACCAAGTGCCTGGAAAAAAATCACCTCGACTATTTTAACTGTGCGTAGCTTTCAAAGAAATCTAACATATAAAGTATGTTCGACTTAGATTTGTATTATCCGTGATTTACATTGATCTGCAAGATTCCATTCTAAACTTTTGAAATCTTTTAAAACTGGTGAAACGTAGTTTTCTTTGTTTATAATGATTCATTGCCAGACCTTTAAAACGTAATAGACAAACAACATTTATTCTGTTTCAATCTTGACACGTGTAGTCCACCATGAAAGTGGAAAAGAAGGTAAAAGTATAAAACAAAAGATACCTGTCAATTTATGTCAGAGAAATTCTATTTACATCTATATTGAAGAAAGAAAATAAAATTTATTTTGTTTTGCAGTCAAAAAGAAAAAAAAACTGATGAATTGGCTTAAAAACAAACTTTCTAAAATACAAATGTTTTATATATATTTCAAGAATCCAAAAAAAAAAAGTATTGTTGAAAAAAAGTTTATTCATTTGCCAGGATAAACATTAACATAACTCCATTTGCTGCAGTTAAAAGAAAGATTTCAACTAATCGTTAGAATATCATAACACATGTTGGAGAACGAAAGCGTATTTTATCAATTTCTACTCACGTTTTTCTTTTATGTTTCAGCTGTGAAAAAGATAAAAGATGTACTATAAAACGAAGTAATGGAACTGGTGATAACGTCTGTAGTACATACAGAGTCAAAAGTAAATACCTTCTTTGTTTTTTCTTCTTTCTATCATTTTTTACTCTTATAAAACCATTAATGAATTGGTTTTCTGTATAAGAATAAGAATATTTATCGTCCAAATTAAGGGCCCTTATTGGGCAGCGTGTCATTTATACACACGAAACAATACACTATGATTTGTAACAAAAAAAACATATTTTTACGTTGAAATGAAATATTAAATGTTCATATAGTTATAGAGCTACATATATTTCTTCATCTTATATATTATGTACATTTTATTTCAGGAAACCATACCATAAAATCATTATAAGGATAATCGTCATTACACATATTAATATACGTTTCGTCTAACATCTAGACTTATATGTATATTTATATATACTAATATTCGTCTATAAATAAAGATTTTGAACTTTGAAAACGTATGCTACAATTTGCCGTTTCAGAATCTAAAGGACTATGGGTAATTTTACTGTTCGTACGTCACGTCATTGGTTGGATTTCAATTGTTTATGACGTTCTTAACCAATAACGACGCTTTGGTGTACACTTTTGAAAATATTACCCAGAATACAGTAGATTCCGAAAGGGCGAATTTCCGGCCACATCGATTTTGATTTACACTACTGACTTGATTTTACTTCAAAATTGATATTTGAACGTCAATAAACTACTGTTGCATTAATTTGAACCTTTGAAAAAGATGCATATTTTAAACATGTGTAAGATTTAAAATGTGGAAGATATATTTTAGCTTTTGATTTTACCATTTGATAAGGGACTTTCCGTTTTGAATTTGCCTTAGAGTTCGGTATTTTTGCTATTTTACTTTTTACTTGTCAAGAATTTTGCCTTTTACTGTCGGTCTAGATGATATTTTTTGCCGTGATTTACCCAGTGTCATAGTATTCAGGGCTACGACCATACCCCGGTAAATACATTACATTGGATTATTTTGGTTTGGCACAACACCTAGGTCGTGTTCAAATAAAGGACTAGTGAAAGAGGGACGAAAAATACCAGAGGGACAGTCAAACTCATAGATCGAAAACAAACTGACAACGCAATGGCCAAAAATAAAAAGACAAACAGACAAATAATAGTACAGATGACACAACATAGAAAACTAAAGACTAAGCAACACGAACCCCACCAAAAACTGGGGGGTGATCTCAGGTGCTCCGGAAGGGTAAGCAGATCCTGCTCCACATGTGGCACCCGTCGTGTTGCTTATTTTATTACAAATCCGGTAAATAGTCTGACTCGGTAAGTCACATTCGTGAAAAGGGAATGGTATTGTAGTTACGACATAAGGAACATATCCGATATCATCTGTGAAACGGTTATTCCATAACGGTCAACCAACTCGTGATGACTGGGAAAATGCAAACCGATGCTTCGAACTGTTAAAAGTAAAATAACAAAAATACCGATCTCCAAGGAAAATCAAAACGGAAAGTCCCTTATTAAATGGCAAACTCAAAATCTCAAACACATCAAACGAATGAAACACAAGTTTACTATCACATTCCCGACTTGGAATAGGCATTTCCTTATGTAGAAAATGGTGGATTAAACCTGTTTTTTTACCTAGCTAAACCTCTCACTTGTATGACAGTCGCATAGAATTCCGACTCAACTGAATGGATCAGTTCAATTTGAAAAATTAAATATGAAAAATTAAATAATAAATTTTAATATTTTCAGATCCGTCTAAAGACTGTGCAAATCCACCACCTGTACATGCAAGAAATGAACAAAATGGCGGACTATCTGAAGGCGCCATTGCTGGAATTGTATTAGGTGTCCTGGCGATCATTGTAATTGTCGTCCTCTTGTTCCTATTTCTACTGCACAGGCGGCGAAAAGCACGTGCTAAGAATGACCAGATTGATCCAGATCATTTGGAACGGTTAGCATCACAAATAGTGGAAAGGTCTGCAAAAGAAGAACCATATCGAAGAAAAGGTATGCACAGATAAATAATCAAATTTACACCTCCGTGTGATTGTTACAAAATTTGTTTTATATAAGTTTCTTCTTAATATTTGTATTTTGTTTGTCACAAGCTGTACTTTATATACTTTCAGACAATAAATGTAATTATTTAAATATAGAAAATTTCCTACATTTATCATTCTTTATTTTATTTTATTTTTTTTAATTCCTGAAGACCTCCCCCTTCTCATTTTTTTAAACTATCGTTTTGCATTATTAATGACATCATTTAACTAAATCAGGAAAACGCCCCAAGGAATATAGTTTATACTTACAGTGAAAACTTTCGTTGACTTAACAAATCATCTATCAAGACAATGAGTGAAAAATTAAATTAAAAAAAGAAAAAAATATATTTTTCCCTGATTACTAGAATCATATATCAATTTGATGTTTTTTTTTTGTCAGATCATTAATCTTCCTTCCTTTTATATAATATTGACCAAGCGTTGATAATTGATTTTGGTGCCTGTTGTTAACGATCTCTCAAGGAACTGTTGTGGCTAGTTTATCAATTAAGCATAGTTCATCAATCTTGATATCTGAATTTGTTCAGAGTTGTAATTGACTTGGATACAAACTGGGAGCCTGTAGTTTATTATCATTCTAATGTCTTAATCTATTCTTGTTTAAGTGTTGACAGCATCCATGAGAGAAATAGAGGATAACATTAACAAACAGATATGGTCGTTACCACAAGAATTATTCCGGAATCATTTTCAAGATGCTAAATATGAACTAGTGGTTGAAAAATATAAAGGTATGGTTACATTGTATAAAAGAGATATTATCAAAACCCTTAGGCCTTCTTAGAGACTTGAAACTCGGACATTTGTCTTATTTTACAGATATCCCAATAACGGATTTTACAAGATGAACACGATGGTTGTCACTCTTTAAGTAGGAACAACGGACCCTTCAACACATCCGAATTCACTCATGCGGAGCAGTTTCAACATGATTAAGTAGTCTCATATCAATTAAATGATATGCAAAAAGATGGAATCACTGCGTTATGAGTTGAAATTCTCTATTCAATCCCATTATTTCAACTTTCTAATGAATTTTTCATTTTTTTTTGTTCAGTTGATCTTTTCCTAACTCTGTTAATACAAAAACAAAATTCTAAGGGGACAATAAAACAGGATAGAAGAAAGACAGACGAATCACTGTCCAAAATTAAACAGACCAGAAGACAAACTACAGCTACAGTAAACTCAATATTGAGCAACGACTACACAACAAAAAGTCAGAAAAAAGTAAAATAACAAAAATACCGAACTCCAAGGAAAATTAAAAAACGGAAAGTCCCTTATCAAATGGCAAAATCAAAAGCTCAAACACATCAAACGAATGGAAAACAACTGTCATATTCCTGACTTGGTGCAGGCATTTCCTTATGTAGAAAATGGTGGATTAAATCAGAACTGTTCCTGCTACACTTGGATATAAAACAAAAACTGTTCCATTTATGAATTGATTATGGCATAGCATTTCAAGCCAATATTGTCCCATAATTCTTCACCAGATACACTATTTTTCTGCAGCAACAGTATGTAATGTCAAACACCCAATCAAACAACAAAACCGAGTATTGTGTATGCACTGGTAGATTCCTCTGTTATTCGGACTATTCCTCGAGAACAGCGAGGGTACAGTGGAATACTTATTAAACACATGAATTGTTGTATTTTCAGACAAAGATCACAAATATGCCATCAATGGTTACATGCAGGATTGGCGGGAATGGCGAGAGGAGGCTGGTGATGCTGTCCAAGAACTGTTTGCTTGCCTGAAAAAGGTCAAACGGGAAGACATCATTTATAAAATATGTAGCAAATTTAGAGAAGGTAATTGAAAATTTGGTGTCTTGTTTGGTTAACTTGAGTTTTTGGTTGACGTCTCATTTGCGTTGAATCAACATCTCCTTTACATATTGTTCAATTTGAATTGTTATGGGTTAGACATTACAAAAATTGATATCTTTCCAAATAATGTTAGAATATTTAGGGGAAGTTGAAAACATTATATATATTTGTTCAAAGACCACATTTAGTTTCAGTTTCTATATATATTTTATTTATTATCAGATAATCGATTCTTGATAAAATGTACGTTAAACTTAAACTTTCTTATTGAAGTACTTTAACTTATTCCATTTCTATTTAGCTTATCCAGAAGTTGTGATTGATGCAGAAACTCAACTAGAAAATGGTGTAGTTAGCAGAAGATCAAAGCGTCAAAATAAGGAGGGGGTAATGGATGTTTTGTTTCCTTGTTGCTCAGCACAGGAGAAGTACGAAACCGAGGAAAATGAACAAGTAAAATTCATGCTTGATGATTCAAAAGATGCAGCGGCACCACCACAAACACTTGAATTTGAACCAAATGAAAAGGGCAATAACTCTAATGATTCTAATGACAATGGCGCCTTGACGCCTCAGGAAGCTGGAGATGTATATCGTGAACGTCCAACACCAAGTGCTCCTGTATTGGATGATTCAGGCAATATTCACATTATTATACCAATGAATAGGTCCGTTTCATATCCTGTTCAGGCTAGTTCATAACTGGTGCTACGACTGTTTCTATTGGTTAAAGATTAATGTGCTAATATCTATAGCGTGTTCTAAAGCTTTTGTGCTTGAACTTAATAAGGGTCAATATCAGTTCAAGCATGATTCCTTGCCTCTTTAAATGTGTTCATGAGATAAGAATTGAAACATAAAGCGGCATTTGTATATGAAATGTTCAGAATGAACTCGATAATGAAGATCAATTTCACATTTGCATTAAAAACGACTACATTGGCCAAGGGACCAAACGCAAAATCATAAAATGTTTATTGTAAGTTACAACAGACATTAGTGTTTTATATTAACTCTTGCATAAAATGCAAATTTTGTGTTGTAAATTTGACACCGTTTCATCAACAAACGGTAAACTATTCAAGGGAGACAACTCAACCTTTAACTAACATTGAAGTAATGTGTATGACAGAACTTGTGTTAGTGTATGAATAAAGACAAGAATTCCTAAATGCAGTGAACATTGGATGCGAGTTGTGATACATAAATCCTTTTCAAAAAAGGGTTTAATGCCTGTTACTTTAATTAAAGTGCTTTTATTTTTGTTTTGTAATATAGGATTTAATCTTTTATGAATAATTGTAATGTGTAGATGAAATAATAAAAGTTTTTGTGTAAAATTATTATATATATATATACTTGTGAATAAATGATATGTCTTACATTTATGAGGGGCATTTAGAAATTGGTTATAATAATTCATATTTAATTTTTGCTTTTGAGGATCGTTTATTATCAGATAATTGCAAAAGTAGACTTTTATTTACCATAGCATTCAAAACAAACATACATGTATTTGCATTCAATTATTATTTAAGTGTTCATCAAATCTTAATAGGTCATACACAACTGACACAAGCATTGTAAAAAGAAATGAAACGAAATACTGTGGTTGAGGAAGTCATATTTTGATGGATTTTTTTAGGCAAGTAATAATGTGCAGTTTAAAAACATTTTATTTCTGGTTCATAAAAATTAATAACGAAAAATCTAAAAGATTTCCAGGTTGCGTATCTATCAATTTTAAAGAAAATAAGGTCTAAAAACAATATAAGAAACGACTATTGTTTGGCTATCAAACACTCTCGATTTAATTTGACAGTAATTTCATTAAACTTATATCAATTTAGATACTAACAAACTATGTTTTGCACGAATTGAATCATTATTAAGAATAACTACATTTTTATAACATATTATTTATTTATAAGTTTTCATATTCTAAAATTTTGTAAAGCGAGCTATGAACAAGTAAAGTAGATTGTTATAGATATTGTATGTCACAAAGGTTATGATGCATCCATTTTATTCATTTGTTTAAAAACGGCAAAAAGAACACAATAATGTTTGTTTTTTTTCTCTCTTTGTCCATCATTTTTTTTTAGGTTATACATTGTAGATAGTGTTTGAATTTAAAAAAAGCAATGTTTAGTTGTCAGGTTGTTTCATAATCTCATTGAAACTGAAATAAATCTAAAAAATAGATTCTCATTGAAATTGAACTAAAATTTAAAAAAAATTAAAGAAATTGGAACTAAAATATTTGTTTTTTTGAAGAAATTGAAACTTAAATATTTTTTTTTGAAGAAATTGAAACTAAAATATTTGTTTTTAAATAGATTTTCATTGAAGTTGAAACTGGAATAAATTCATTAGTCTTTGTTGCTTATCAGTAGAAATTTAAAAAATGGTTGTTCATTTAACGAGATGCATGATGAATTCCCATGATGATTTTTTTTATTTGAGTATTTGTTTATTCGGTAAATTTTATATATATATATGTATAATGTAAATGTTCTTTTTGTGCAGTTGTTTTACAGGTTTAACAGAAATATTTTTTCTCTTTAAAAAAGATGTCAAGTTTTAATATTTTTCATGTATATCCATCATATCAGATGTTAACCACATGTAATGTATCATATATATGGTATCTTTTTTTCAATTTTTATTTTTCAAAACACTAAATGTTCGTTATCAAAATGACATAATTTTGGTTGTAACTAATTTAATTTAAGATTACATAACCAAAATGGAATCTGTTCTTTTAATTTCTATTGTTTGAAAATTTCTATATCAATTACATTAACAAACAAAAAAAACAAAATTTGCAATATTTCATATTATGTCACCAAAACAAAATGTCTAGTATATATATTTTGCAATAAAAAGCAATTAAATCTCTATAAAAATGCAATTTTTTCACAATCTTATTATTTTACAATTATCAGAAGACGGCATAATTATAAAAAAATTTGCAATATTCAATATCTGTCGGATCAGAAAAGATTTTATGATTTGCACTCTTAATTATTCAAAATTTCAAGTCCCATTTTCTTATTTGAAATCCCTATTTTCTGTGTATACATGTTATAAGTTCGATACAATGTTTTTGTCATAATTTACTTGCTATCTTTATTAAATTGCAATGTCATCTACATTTAGCTAATAAAATTATTTTGTTATACATATTCTTTATATATTTATTGTGAGACTTGTGGAAGTTTTGCAGATGCCATCTTGTAATGTCTTATCTTAATAAAATCCTGACTTTCAGAGGCACACCTCTGGTTTCAGAGTAGAGTCACGAGTTTGGTAACCGTTATGGAATAATTTTGTTACATATGACGACGGATATGTTCCAATTGTGGTAACTGCAATCCCGTTCTCTTTTCCTGTATTGAAACCAGTGATAACAATTATTATTATATCTGACGTACATGTTACTCTAATGGTTCTTTAGGTTTCAAAACTCTACTCTAATTTCAGATGAACCATGACTTTGATACCGCTTACAGTGTGCATAACACATTTTTCTGAATTAAAATGACCGTCATCCAGTACCTTTAAAACTAAAAGTTGGGAACCATAAAAAGTACTTCTAATGGACAAACTTCTATAAAAAAAGAGGCAACATATACCCGAGTGACTTTCAAACTCGTAGTCAAAATAAACTGACAACGCAAGGGTAAAAAAGAAAAAGACCAAAAGACTAACAACAATATACAAAACACAACTAAAGACTGAACAACACGAACCCCACCAAAACCGAGGGTAGTCTTAGGAGCTTCGGAAGGGTAATCAGATCCTGCTCCACATGTGTCATCCGTCGTGTTGCTCATACAAGTACAAACCCGGTAATCAGTCTAATTTGGTAGGTCACATTCGGGACAAAGGAGGACGGGATTGTGGTTTCCACGATATCGATTGGAACATATCCGTCGTCATATGTGAAACTGTTATTCCATTACGGTCAACCAACTCGTGATGGCGTCCGTAAAATTTTCGAAGGGATGATTTCAACTTCACCACTTCGAACTCTTGGTTTAATACATTTCTTGTGAGTAGTAAAGAAAATCATGATAGGATATACAAGCCCTGGAGTATCAAATCAACTGGGAGATATATACTCCATATGCAGGCGCTGCTGGAATGTTGCTACCTAGAAAGGAAAGTTCACAATTGGGAAGCTGATATCATCTCTATTGTCGTAAATTCTCAACCAACCCTCATTGTCAAATTTCTAGATGTAAGTCAAGATACGAGAGGCAGACTTAACTGTATCTTTTGTATCCTTTGTTTCAAGTTCGATGGGATAGATGCGTTCAACAAAGTCACCAAAGTTGGAAGTGTTTTGTGAGAGGACATCATCTATAAGGGGGAAAGTGAAGTTAAAGGATAATGCTAGCTTTTTTCTTTCTTCCTAAGAAACTTCTTTATGAAGTAAGCCATACAAATATCATTTTGGTTTATTAGCATGAGCTTGAGTTTTCTCCATCAGAAGAAAATTTTATGATAGAAAATAGCCTGCAAAGTTTGTGTTGCAATAAGTTCTAAATCACATCTGATATACCTATATTAAACGGTTTACTAAACGTGGATCATTTTGCCAAATCTCGACACTCTATCGGAACATTAGCAAAACAAAAAATGTTAAAAATGGAGACTGTATACCAAAGTAAATATATTTATGTGCTCTACGCGTAGTTATTTTTAGTCGCGTAGTACCTAGGGTAAGAACCGGTTTGGATTTCGCGGGTAGTATATAAGAAAAGGATCACGTTTTTCAGTTATCGAGGTTTGGCGGTGACCACGTTGATTACTACTACAGTGTAGACATATTTACAGTAGTGTAGAATTGTAATGTAATTCAGAGATCAATTGGATGTGTACTAATTATGATATTTATTTATTTTTAGATATTCTGTAAGGCCAATGTACCATAAAAAATTTTATTTAGTGGACGTTACGCATTTGCATTCAGTGAATCCAATGTTTTTGTGGACAGTGAAATGATGATTTAGCTTGTATAATGGTTAATAAAATGACATGGTCACCGTGCTGGACAAAATCAGAAATGTGTTTCTTATTTTATACCAAGAATGATATAGTATACAGTTTGGGTTTGAAGTAGGTTTCAGAAATTAAGTAGCGATGTGCACATAAATACTTTATGTTCGTTTGAACAAGTGAATTAAAACATAATTTGACATACCGTTATACGAGGTGCATACTAGCTCTGTAGGGAAACAGTCTGACCTGAATAAACTTCATATTGATGACAGGTGCGTCGACAGGATAAGAATATCTTGAAATGCGATGCAACTACCCTTTATTCGATTAAATAGTTTAGTGATCGAGTAGACCGCAGAGGCGTATTTCCCACCCCTTCTGGTGCTTCTTTTATGGTTTATTCAAACTTTTTACCTGTTCCATTCAAAACGTTGCCTAATTCAAGGGCCCGACCCCCTTTTTTCAAGATCCTAAATCCGCATCTAGACCGGACCTTCGAAAAAAATCTATTGTTTGTATAGAGGGACCTATCGTTTAAAAGTCATTGCCACCATCCTTTTAGTAAATCGAACGTCCTTAAAATCTTTGGAAAACACTGAAATGTCAATATAATTTATAAATGAAATAAACACTTTTTAAAAAATGTGCATCCTAAGAGTTTTCGTTTTTGTTTTACCTTCATCGGGAACGTTTAATGTAGATCGGGTACCTTTTCCCAGCATCCCTTCTAGGCATGTTGCAAAAATATTTTTTTTAGTTTTAAATTATTCTACCAATTAAGTAGCATTCAATAATATACAATAGAAACATCTAAACTGTGAATTTCAAAGATTAAACTACCAAAACAATTAAGTGTTGTGAAGTCTTTTTAATTTTTCAGAAAAACAATCCTTTTAAAATCGAGGGCTGCTAATCATATTGAATTTGATAAGACCGTTTCATGCGTTTGTGTTTTGTTTTGTTTTTTGCGTGAACCCCTCAGGGTTCACGCTTATATATTGGCGAGTTTTGGAAGTGTCTATGGGCCACTCGATATCCTCGGAATCACAATCTCGGAACGTCTCGAAAATTTTCCACCATTTATACAGGTAGTTATTTATGTCTTTGATACGATTCCTCTATGGATAGGCTACCACGTGACATTCAATTTGTATATATCAACAATCCGTCAACGTTCGTTTGAAGATTTGAAAGTAAAACAATAAAGACTAGGTTGCATTCTAAAATCATTTATATGTTAGAACATATTTGCCTTTTGACAAAACATATATGTTTTAGTAATGTGAATGTTTATTAAATATCAAGTATAATGATAACGCAATTATATAATTCATGCTTTGAGACGGTCCCTCTACGTATTGTGTGTGTAGTATTCAATAAACCTGGGAATAGTTTATTGATATACAATGACCCAGAATAAACTGATTATTTCTGAACGTTTGTCATTTGATATTTAGTATTTCAATCATAGCATAGAAAATGTCAGAAAGTTTAAGCATGAAGAAAATTAAGAAAACGATATTTCTGTTAAAAATATTTATTTAAGGTCGGACACACAGTGGTTGGAAAGCAGAAAGATAATCAAACAAAAGAATTTTTCTATAAAAAAAATCTAATTTCATTAATAGATACTACCAGACTAAGAGAATATTCATTGTTAAGGTAAAACGAGACTAAATTTATTCCTAATAATTATAGAATATAATTAAAATTGTAATGTATACGTGCATTATGTCTCACAGGTTTGATCAGTCATTACATTTTTGAAAATCATATTTAACGTATGAGCACCAATGAGCAGGGATATCCAAAGTTAGCTAAATATCTAAATTTTAAATGGTCGTGAATGAAAGACTTGCGTGGTTTCAATTCACAAGGATTTTTAATCCTTGCATCTCACAAAAAACGTAATTAATATTTTTCAATAATCATAACAAAATTAATTACTATCATAATGCCAATTATTTTTTACTGTTTAAGTAAGGATTTATAAGTCTCTGCTTATATTTTGTATAGCAATATATTCATATAGTGGAATGTTAGACTTTACAAAGAGATTCATTTGATAAATAAATGTCCATCCGTAAATACTTGACATTTTTGTTTTTTGATATTACATTCAAGCTATTTTCGGAAAAAAAGTTCACTAACAGGAATGTATGCTTATTATAGAATTTCAATTATTTTTATTTTCTTTTATTAGTTCAACCTTATAGCATCTAAATATTTTGAACTATGGTACGGTTTTGAAAATTATATTCATAATATTGTGTTGACCAGCTATCCTACACATCTTGATTCATTCACATTATACATCATCCTGTTCACATGCACACTATCGGTTTGCGTTCACAAAAATTCCGGATAAATGTCAATGTCACTCGCGTCTGGCGTACAACATGTTAATCCTGGTATCTTTTTATATCTACATGTCTTTTTATATAAATTGGTTCTTTTGAGAGTATGTTCAGGTATTCATAAGACTTCTGAAAATAAGATATTCTTCAAAACCAAGTTTCCCTGTAGAATATTTGGATTGATTTAAGTAAAATCAGGAAATCCTTAAAATTTGAGATGTTTTATGAGACCAAAATAAGTCTCTATATAAGAGGTCCAAATGAAGCTGGTGTGTTAACGTTACTCTCAAGAAGAATATACGAAACCTTATAAGTTGCATGCCACAGGATTTCACTTCACATGGAAAATGGACTTTAAATTCATCTATACAACATCTACCATACAGATAACTTCAATAACGAGTTGAGAATATGAAGGCATCCATGCAGGAAACTAAATATAAAGATATGATAGATAAAATAAATGCATCCAGATTATAAAGCAAACTGAGTGCTTAAATTTGTATTGCGATTGGTTTGTGCAATTTGCATTATACATCCGGTTTGTAGAAACAGGGATTTGCAATAGGATTATGAAAAATATGATGTACAATTCCAAGTAATAAATGAAATAGTCAAGCTTTAAAATGTATATTCAAATGTTCAAATAGTAGCTGTATATACACTTTTCTATTCACAACTTTCCAACATTGCTTTCAACTGACTTGTGCAAGAATGTACAATGTATTACATATTTTTAATAAAGGTGTTTTAACATAATCATTATCTTCTTCTATTCACAGTCAATTATTTCAATTCAAAAGCAAACAAAAATTCA